TAGTAGCAAAACCAGGGGCCCTAGTAGCGTTCTTTATAACCCAAAACCTTAGGCGCAGGTGTGGACACACACACACGATGCCGCTTTGCGGCGCTCTCGCGGAGGACCTGAATAGGTACCTAAAAAGCCTTAGAAACAAAAGAAAGAAAAACAGAAAGAGCAGCGCTGAGAGGGCAAGAGAGAAAGGTAGGAGTAGACAACAGTGAATACTTAGCCCTTGACTGGGGTAGTGAAACGAGCCTCAAGAACAACCTAAAAAGCCTGAGAGAAAGCCCAAGAAACGACCAAAAGCGCAAGAAGGAAAGTGGGGGGCAGGGAAGTGTATGTACATGTGTTTGTCTGTGTGTGTGTGTAAGACTACCTAGCACTCTAGAGTTACTGAATACTTAGCTGAACGAATTAGGTGCACTAGTTAGGGAGCGGGACTTTTGTCTTACACCGCCCGGGTAGAGTAGACTAGAAAAGGGACAACAGAGGGAAAGGCACCGACGCATGAGTGTGCCGAGTACCATTTCCCTCTGTTACCCTGATCAGAGGGGGGAAGGGGTTGGGGTGATTGGGGTAGATAACACGTCTGGGTTTATTCTCCGTTGGCCCGGCGGCTTGGAATTGTTGTCGTGGGCCAGACGGCATCGCGGTTTGAGATTCCAGGCAAGAGACCAATTCAGTTAAGAGAATCCCACGCATACAGGAGCAGTTGAGTCCGTTGCACGAAAGTCCGGAGTGAAAACGTCGCCTCCTTGCGGAGCATCGCGCCCAGCGCCCAAGTGGGACGACTGAGCGAGTCACACTCTGACATTGGTTTTCAGTTAATCTATTCCCAAGTGGAAAAAGGTGAGGGAACAGCAAGGCGAGAAAGTCAGGTCACTTGAAATGTTGAACAACTGTTGTACTCAGCGGTCAAAATCTCGCGCGGCTGGCTGCAATTCACGAGCGGCTGAAAACTGCAGTGGGAAACCTGTCTTGGGGGAAGGAGCGCATGAAAAACCATGAATCAAACCAAAGGAGTGGAACAGCGTGGGCAACAGTTGAAGGTGCAGGTGCACAGGGATGATCAGTCCCTGCTTCCCCTTCTTGTCCACAGCTTCGTTGCGCGCGGTAAGAAGGCCACACGCCCCTGCATTCAAAACTCTTAGTTACAGAGGCACACACACATAGCCGCTTAGCGGCACTCGCGCGCGGCAGGGTGGTGTTTTTTCTGCTCTTCACAAACCTGAGTAGATACCTAAAAAGCCTTAGAAGCGAAAGAAAGAAAGAAAGAAAGAGAGAAGAAAGAAAAAAGAAAGAGAGAAAGACAGAAATAGCCGACCGAAAAGGGCAAGAGAGAAAGATAGGTGTAGCATGGTGTAGCGAGAAAAGTGACTACTTAGCACTTGACTTCTTAGCCCTCGACAAAAAAACCAGAGCAGGGAAACGAGCCTCAAGAACCACCTAACAAGCAAGAAAGAACGCCTAGAAAACGAAGAAAGCGCAAGAAAGAAGGCGGGGGGCAGGGAGGGGGTGTATGTTCATGTGTGTGTAACCCTTGGAATCAAAGGGAACCTTTAGGTTTGGGACAGGGGCGTACGGCTCGTCATACCCACCGTACGCAATGAAGCTACGGTATGACGAGGGATGGGTGGACTGATCATCCACCCGTACCTGTTCCGCTATTTAGGAAAACAGGAGGAAATGGTACTCGAGACACTTGTGTGTCGGTGCCTTTCCTTCTGTTTTCCTCTAGGCTACTCTACAGGTTTGCAGGTAGGCCTCCAAGCTTTGTAAGGGGTTCTTTAACCTGAACTTTGGCCTCCACCCACTAGATTGGCCCCCAACTTGCTGTCTTGTGCTTCTTGTGCTTTTGTCCTTCTTCTAACCTTGTAGCACTGGCCTCCAACTTGGTACCCTGGCCTCCACCCACTGTCACTAGCAAGTACCTCCAACTTTGACTGTCTTGTGGTTTTCTTGTGCTTGTGTAACCTGGTAGCGCTGGCCTCCAACTTGGTACCCTGGCCTCCAACCTACTAGCGATGACCTCCAATTTTTCTTTTGCTGTCACTTTGTGTCTATGGTCCACCGCCTACTAGCGATGGCCTCCAACCTTAGGTCTTGGCCCCCAACAGCCTTGCGTTGGCCTCCAGCCCAAAACCGATGGCCTTTAAACAACTATTTTCCTGCCACGTCAGGCCTTTTAAAAACTTAGGCTGGCGTGTGGCGCCGCTGTCAAACCAGTACGCATATCCATAAGTGTGTCTGGCCTCGTGCCAGTCCGGAGTGAGCCCGTAGAGTGCCTCCCATGGACCCGTCGAACGGGTGTCTGTCAAACGTATCCCCTGCCCGGATACAGAGCAGCTCTAGCCTACTCTACAGGTTTGCAGGTAGGCCTCCAAACTTTGTAAGGGGTTCTTTAACCTGAACTTTGGCCTCCACCCACTAACTTGCTGTCTTGTGCTTCTTGTGCTTTTTT